AATCATACAGTTGGACCAAATTAGACCCAACTAAAGAAGAAACAAAAGAACTGGTTCAACAATACTTCAGCTGGACTGGTGCTGATAAGGAGGGACGTAAATTTAATCAGGGAAAAATTTTCAAGTAAAACTTTGCCATATGCTTATTATTAAACAGAACATTTTGTTCGCATGAAATAAACGTAAAAAAACTGATAAGATATTATCAAAATTTACGTGCAAACCCTTAGAATCCTGTATTGAATAGGATGGTTTTCAAGCAAAGAAAAAAAAATGTTCCTTTCTGTAGGTCACTACTGTATAACTTGATGCTTTACCTTTTTAAGTTTATTATGTTACATTTAAAACATCATTCTGAAATTAGTTTTTAATGTACCTTTTTATAATACGAATATAAATCGTCGAGTGTGGTATTTTGGATTTATTTTAATATCCAGCGAATTACTATTAATTTTTAATGAAATAAAGGTCGTGATATATTTACTTTGGCATGCACATTCTTAGAAATTTGTATTTCATCTAATTGTGTTAAATTATTTAACTTATAAATTGTTTTAGTTGCACGTCATACATATATGAACGCAAATAATTTAATAGATTTATGAAGTTATTTTGTTCATTTGTTATTGTTTAATAAAAAAGCATATAGCATGATTTAATAGAAACATGAAATAACGAACACACTGTAACACTTATATTTAAGTCTGCTGCTGTTGCTACACATACTACAATTCATCTCTTCCATATGCTAGTTTGTGTGAAGTATAATTTTAAATATAATACATATTTTTACAAAAAAAAAAAAAAAAATATATGAAACGTTTTAAATCCAAGCCACAAAAGGGGTTTTCATTATTTTTGGATTTCAATAAATACTAATGGTACTAATAAAATATGCTTCTTTTTGTATTTACAACAAATGCCTGCTTATAAAATATTACAGTATTTTAAAATCCTTTCTCATTTAGCCACTTCTTAATAAGATTTACATAGTCTCCCCTAAATTTTATTTCACCTATAAGTTCATTCACACGAACACCAATTGGTTTTTTCTCGCATTTTTCTATATATTTTTTCAAATCAGATTCTAGTGCCCAGATGTCTCCATGAATTTTACGAATAACAGTTGTTCTTCGCATTCCACGGTGGAAAATATGAAGATAAACAGGTTGCATATAGTTTCTTGTACGCTGTACATAATATGGATGATCTTTTGGTTTAGCTGTAAAATAATTAAAACTAACAAGTTATATATTAAACATATTTAATTGCAATATATACATTGATATATGAAGTGAAACATACCAATAGGTGGTTTCCATCCAGATGGGTATTCTTTGTTTTCTAGTGAAATTTCAGGTATGACTTTTGATTTAAGCAAACGTTCAACATATTTCCATTCTTTTGGATCTCTTGTTACCTCATAATTTGTGTATTTTGAAGGATCTTCTTCATACATGGGTGAAGATTTATAACTCCCCCATCTCTTGTATACCTAACATGAATGAAAATACATGTATCTTTAGAATAAATTTAAAAAAATGCGTACATTATATATGAAAATTATTAATACAGGCAAAAGAACTCCTCTAATATTTTATTATTACCTATTATTGTCACTTCAATATATTTTCAGGTTATAATGTAAAATTGAATGTTTTTGTCCTTTTATCAAATTAAATCAAGTCAATTTTAGCCACATTTTAATTAAAAAAAAAAAAAAATTTACATTCTTTTTATTCATTATTAGAATAATATGGCATACATGTACTGTTACACTATATTTTAAACTATTTGCTTTTCACGATTTATCTTAGCGTATCTAATAATCTACCGGGTATTTATCGTCCCAACATCAAATATAATAATTTCAAGAATGCTTACTTGTATATCAAGTCTTTGATACAACAAGAAACAAATAAATTTTCTTCGAGATAAAATGAAACAAAAACTAACGACGTAAATACCTCGCATACCTAGCATGGCCCTTCGTTACTTTGTCTTAAAACTAATAATCATAGAAATGCACGATAGCCCGTTACTTGTCGACTAATTATGAGAAAAATAAAACAAGTAAACGTGTAATACCTGAGCGACGATCGGTAAAGCACACCTCAACGATTCATTCTTGCCGATAGACTGAAAAATAATCGCCGATAGTTTCGAACGCGTGAAAAGCCGAAGGGCAGCCATTTTGACTTCAGTAAATAAGGGTCGGTAGCCGCCATTGGTGCGCACGGGCGCGTCTTCCTTTTCGTTCTCGTGCCAGATCGAGTTTTTCCTCGCGACGGGCCCGTATTTCTAGCAATTTTTGTTCCCGCGAGAAACTACGCTTCGCTTGGTCGCGATCCCGATAGACGAACGTATCACCAAGTGATCGTGATAACGTTAAAATCCGACAAATAACGGCAGGGTTAGTTATTACAAATACTGTATAGATTTTGAAGTGCCGCGTTGCTCTGAACTTTGTCGTGGAATCGTCGCGATTCTGCCGAGGCTTTCTGGACTGTTTTAGGCTCACTAGTAAGCACGATTTTCTCCCGAGGTGAACGTATCAAACATACTGGCCGGCATAAAGCAGCAGGGGTTGAATCCGTCGAAATAACGCAATGAATTAGTGCGAACGGACTATGGACCTGGGAGAGGTCGTGTATTCCACCGTCAGGTGGCGGTAGCCTCAAAACAGTGGGACATCGTACAGACACCCTGCAACGGGACTGTGTTTTTCACAGAATTGTTTTCCGCGTTTTAGCCACAAAAACTACGCTTTTTGACGGTGATTTTTCGCCTCAGAGGTGAGTACAACTGACGAATCGAATAATGGAATGGTAAATTCTCCTGATAACACGCGGCGAATGGAGTATTAAACCTTGGAAATCTCGAATCGAGTCCGACCTTTTGTTTATTCGTGGCGATTTTTTCGCGATGATTTGTTTCACGATTTTCGATAGTTCCTGCATGTTCAACCCTCAATTTTCATGTTTGAAAGTTAATATGTGACACGGTCTTTCTTCCGGAATAAAATTTGTCGTGATCGAGAGTACGATCGCCGAGATATTGCGGTAAATATTTCAAAGCGATTCCCTGACCGAAAAGAGGCGCCCGTGTATCCGTGTAAATGCAAAGTTTGTCACGTAATTTTTCTGACCGCCAGGGCCGCATCTATCAACCCCACTATCCGGCCGGCCGCTCACCTACTCGCACCTAAGACGAATTATGTAGTTTTTCCACTTGGTGTACAATCAATTTGTTCCTGTCTCGCTTATAAGAGGAAAGGTACATTTTCATCAGTTATAATTTAAGTGTTCTATTGTAATGTATTTCTCTAAATAGAGTTAGCTTTTAATTATATGATTATTGTCTCAAATATTTTCATAGAAATGGATATTTTATAATTTTTCAGAAAATGTATACAAATAAATAGTATTTCTTTGAGTTTTTAAATGTATATTGTTTTATTGATAGGACAATTAGAAAATTACTTTGAACACTACAATGGTAGTAGTAATTACCCTTTGGTCAATAATCGGCTTGCAATTTCATATTACGAATGAAATTGCAGGAGCCCAATGTGGGTGGAAGTGAGATGGCATCCAGGGAAAAGAAACCCTTAGCGCCTTCCAAAGCAAAACAAAAGGCGAATAATGATTGTGAAAGCATTGGAAGCATTAGAAGCTGTAGCTACTGGAAGTCAACTTCCTCCAAAATTAGAGGCCAGCTTGCCACGTAAAAAGGTTCTCAGAAATCTTAAGCGTAAACAGAAGTTAAGGGCAGCAAAGGCAAACCTCATTAAGTCAAAGGTTACAAGGAAAGTAGCAAATAGAAATTTGTGCAGAATAACTTCTGATATCAAGAAAGGTGTGAGAGCTAAAAGGGTCAAATTATCAGAGGACAATAGCATTAAAACATCAGATATTAATTTAAGAACTTTAGAGAACCACATAAACGATACAGAGTGTGAAAGTATAGGAACAGAAGGAGCTAATAGAAGTGCCAAGAACAATCTCAGGACTAAAAAGACCAAGTTTGTACCAAAAACTAGTGGGGAAGTGGAGAACGAAGACATTCAAGACAGAGACACAGATTCAGTTGCTGGATCCAGTACTAAGAGCAGCCCAAAACTTAGCAGAAAGGGGAAAAGTTTAGAGAATTCAGATTCTTTGTCCAGGGGTGTGAAAGCAACAAAATTTGCAGGATTCAAAAGGAACAATATTAGAGAAAAGGATACTTACATAAAAACGGAGGGAGATATCAAGTGTACGAAAGGAAGAAAGAATAACAGAGATATAGATTACTCTAATTCAAGAGCATCTGTTGATACAAAATTTTCAAAGTCACTTTTGGACTCTAAGAGTTCTATAGATCTTACTATAGACGAGGTTATAGCTTCAATGTTGAGTGATTCAGAGATAGATAATCCACAGGGAATAATAGACAAAGTAGAGGGTAAGGTGACAAGGAGTAAGAAAATGTTGGTAGAAGAAAATATAGTTACAGATATTGAAATCAAGAAAGAACCAGACAATGATGATATTAAAATTACATCTGATGGGGAGAACCTGGAAATAGAATCTGTTCAAAGTGCAATTCAATTAAGAAAAAGATCGAATGCATCAATTAGTCAAAGAAGTTTAAGAAATGGCAAGTTACGGCAGTCAGATTCAGGTATTTCCACTGACTTGGAACTTAAAAAACGTCGAAGATTAAATTCAGATGACCCTGTTAGTTCAGAGGTTTTAATAGATAATATTGTGGATAGTAATATTGATACAGAATCTTGCTTCTCTGAATCCAGTGGTAATGATTCTCAGACAGTTATGGTAACAGCCAAAGATGAATCTTGCTTGAAGCAAGAAACATTAAAAAATTTTGAAGGCAGTTCCCAGACTGGATCAGAAGTAGAGAACAATAATAACAGTGATCGAGCAGATAGGGCCAATGAGATAGGGCCCACTCTCCGCTCAAAAACTAAAGCCAAAAGTACAGAAGTTGAAATAAAAAGTGACAATATAAAAATTGATTATACGAGAATAGTACCTAAAAATACAGAACTGCAGGAGGAGGTGAAGAAAGTGAGTAATTTAGAGCAAATTAGGAAAGAAAATATTTTAGCAAAATTTTCTGACAAGTCCAAGGGTCGAAGAAGTAGTTTAAATATAGATATGAAAAAAACAGTAAATTCATTTTATGGTACAGAAAAGTCAGATGGTAATCCAAAGTCACAGATAGATCAAATGATAGAGAATATTAAGCTTAAAATTGCAAAGTCTATTGAAAGTAAAATCTTTGGACCAGAAAAGGGTCTTGGATTGAACAAAAACTTTGAAGTACCAAAAATTGAAGAGATAATTGCACCATTGAGTGCAGAATCCCAGAAATTAGGGCTGGAGGAAAATATAGATGAGGATAAGTCTGCTATTTCCAAAAATGAAATCAAATCGGACAGTTCAGAGAATTCAGTACCAAAAGTGGCTGACACTGCCAAAGAAATTGAGAAACTAGTCATGGGTGATATTGAACTAGCAGAAACTCATTCTCAAAATGTACAAGAAAGTGAGTCTCCTGACACTGATGCAAGTAACAATATACATAATGTTTCTGAAGCTGTACATGCTACAGAGAACAATGCTAGTAGTTGTAAAGCTGTGGAGCAACAAGAAGAGTCCAATGAAGTTTCTAATGTAATAGAGGAGTCTGAAAAGGATGTTGAACAACTTATAGATGATCAGATAAAAGTGTTGGATGATGGTAAGAAAACTATGTCTACCAGAAAATCTTTAAGAATAACTGACAAAGGTTCTCCTGAAAGCAGTGACAGTGTTAAAAAATTAGGTAGAGTAGCAAATAAAAAGTCTGAGAACTCCGAAGAATTTTTGGAAAATTTTAATAAACCTGAAGAGACAATTTCAATTGATGAACCACAGAATGAATCAACAAAGAAATTATCTACTTTAGAATCCTCGACTGTTAATATGGAAACTGTATCTAGGAAAGTGGAAGAGAAGGTTGCAGACGAAGAAGCAAAAACAAATCAAACTGTACAAGATGAAACTAAGATTTCTGCAAACAACACTTTGGAGCCTGATGAAGTAGAAACCTTGGAAAGTATTTCTAAAGAAGTGGAAAGATTAGTGGCAGAAAAACAACCCAACACTCAGTCACAAACAAGCACAAAAGAAACACAGAATAAGCAAGAATTAAGCAGTAAATCCTCAACAGAGTCTGACAAGTTAACTGTAGTAACAGATACTAACAAGCAGGAAGTAATTGAACCCGATGAATTGGAGAAGAGTAGTGTACCAGGCAAAGCTGAAGTAACAGAGAATGCCAAAGACGTTGAAGAAAGTGAAGGAACCACTGCACTGGAATCAGTGCAAGATGCTAAGAAGGAGAAAAGTAATTGTCAAATATCAGTTACCTCGAATTCCACTACGATTCCTAAATATAACGCGAGTCCTGTTCTCAGTGATGCATGTAATCCCATTGAAAACGCGAAAAAAGACACAGATGAGAGTGCAAAAGACGATAAATGTAAGCAAGATAATAATACAGATAACAATAACATTGTCACTAATACAACAGAAGAACAAGTAATTTTGTACAATAATTCAGGACATGGTGAATCAACCACAATAACAAAAGAGGAACCAGAAAAATTAGACAATATTGTAGAAGAGCAAAAATCACCTGTTAGCGATGATAACAACAAACGAGTGCTGAGAGCTCGCGACAAGACGAAAAAACTTGAAAAAAGACAAGCTTCTTATAACAAAGATGGCGTATCGAAGGTGAAAGATGATGAAGGTGCACAAAAGATACAGAACTCTCATGAAATAGAAGATACACAGGAGTCAGAGGAAAAGGTTCAAGAAGTGAACACAGAAGACATTGATGACACCCAGAACAGCACAGAATCGGTGGATACAAACGATCTGGATCGTCAAGCTCGCACCAGGCGCAATAGAGAGATGAAGAAACGCAAGGAGGAACAGTTGTCTAGTTTAAAAAATAAACGTTCAAAGAGGGAGATCAAAAAATCTGATCAGCAGAACAAGGAGGAGACCCTGTTAGATAATGAGGTGGCTAAGATCAATGAGAACAATAGGTCATTCTTAGACAAGTATGGAAGTGGAGCAGAGTGTGTAACAAATTTCAGAGGCTTCTCAGAAGGTGGCAGGGGAAGCTTGGAAAAACGACAAGATAACTCTGATAATGTGAGAAGCAAGTCAGAGAATGATATAACAATTACAAAGGAACCAAGCAAAGTTGTCTGTGAAAACAGATTGTCCAGAAATCTGTCTGAGAACCATATGACTAAGCAGACAGAGAACATAGATATCCTGGATGCCGATTGCAAGCCTGTGAAGACACCAGAGACATCTCAAAAGGATTCTGACGAGACTTCGACGTCTGGCGAGTCCTCTAGCAGTGTCAATATCACTCCAAAAATCCTGGAAACGCCTGAAGATAAGGCCAAGAAGGAGTCAATTTTGAGACTGCTCGGTTTAGAGTCCCTGGAGAAAGCTGCAGAAAGACTGAGCCATCAGAAAGCGAAGAAGGAGCAGTACACTGGAACATTGAAGACTGTGATTCGTGTACAGAAGGAGAAAGAGAAGGATAAAAGGCGGTCTAGGTCTCCCTTGAAAATGGTGTTGAAACAGGGTCGTGGGGATGGAGAAGGAGATTCACCTGAGAACTTCTACACTATTCAGAAGGAGGTCAGTTTTAACAGAAACACGTTAGATTGTTGTATATAATACAAGATGAGAATTTTGTAAATTATTTCATTTATTTTTTTATTTTCAGTTTGGAACCAGTGGTTGGGGAGATAGCAGCTCTGGTGCGAACCGAAAGTTCTCTACTAACCACAGACACTCTTGCGGTAATCCTGGTTGCGGGAATAACTACATTCTTAATCGTTCCCTGTTCCTCTGCTTTGTTAAAATACACATCCTCGTCTCTTGTACAGTCTGACCCGTTAAAGAATCATTGTAAAAAGGAATAGCTTGATATTTATTTTAAAGGATTGATCTTTGCTACACACTATGGTACGATTTTTTTCTTCTATCGCAATCCTATTATTCTCTAATATCAAGCAATTTTCTTATTCATAAACCACCTGTGTCCCGCAATTCTCTGAATACTCACAATAGTTATACGGTATACCCTTCATAACAAGCATGCTATATCTTGTGCTACCGCTTTGAATATCAAGTACTTACTCTCTAACTTTCCAATTGTCCACCGACTAAATTGACCTCATTTCACCTAAAGATCAAAATTAAAACAAGACATGCTCTTATATGTGTTATAGTAATTCTGATTATAATTGATTGTTTTGTCACGACAGACGAGGATAACGAGGATACCACGTCAAAGGATCGTCAGTCTCTTGTTATTCCAGAGAAGTCCTCTTCCTTCTCCATCCATCCAGGACGCCTATGTGCGGATGTGTGTTGCTACTGCTTTGGAAAATTCGGCTCATTGGACACACCGATGCATCTGGCTCAGATGAAATCCGACGAGAGACGCAAGAAGATTTTGAACATAGAGAGACACTTAACCAAGGACTCTTGCTTGTGTGACGCCTGTTACCGCCATGTTGATAGAAAGGTAACTGTTCTTGTGCTATTAATATTATTACAATGGTTTTTAACCCTTTCGCTACGGCAGTCCGCTCCGCCGGAGCGCCGCCACTAAACGAGACCTTACGCCAAAAGTGTACACATTACGCGTGGCCAGTCTTTGGCATTCGTGTTTACGTCTTACGTCTTCGACTTTGGTCTGAGAATGAAAATGTCATTTTGTTAACCGCACGGGATTATCATTGCCTCTTCGTTGATGTTGAATTAAATTTCGATGATACTTTTTGAGTATTTCCTTTATGTCGTGTAGATGCCAGATACATTCGGCGCTCGTACACAAAGGTTGTCGCGTGGATGCCGTATATCCAGCGTTCGTAATGAAAGGGTTAATCGTCCAATTGTATTCTTTAAAATTTGATTTACTCATAGGCGAACACTAGCCCTACGAACATGCAAACGAAACCGCAGAAACAGCATAGGCAACTTATGGTGTCCAAATGCTCGGCCCGTGACTGCAGAGACGCTGCTCGTCATCATGTCAAACGTCGATGGTTGCTCAAAATAAAAGCTGGTCTGCAAAAACAGGTAATCATTAGTATAAAAAAATAGAAAGTTAATTTTATTAAAATGTGTCAGCTTTAATGGCAACAAGAGTATATCTTTTGTTTAGGTGGACATTGATTGGGAGTCGAGTCAACATACGTCCATGTCGTTCTGCGTCAGCCATTATTCCAAAATCGAGCCATTTTTAACCTGTGCCCTCTGTAAGCGCCGACTAGCGAGAAATCATACTCATCAGTTGGCAAATGCAGAGACAGAGGAATTGAACCAATTGCTTGGACAACAAGGTATTCCTGTGATCCTGGTCGCGGGCACCTTCGTCTGCAAATTGTGTCGCTACTTCACGCAGTTGCAGCTGAAGTACAAGGATGTAGAGAACATGAACACGAATCATAGATCGTTCTTCAAGAGCTACAGGAAAAGGTACAATTTGAAAACATTGAAAAAGCTACCTTAAGAGATTCATATTTTAAGAACATCTTTACTTTTTCTTATTTTTATATGTTCAGAATCCTACACTATCATGATATCGAGGTTCTGGAGAACGAAGATGACGATTCCTCGCAAAACCAGTCTAAGGATAAGGATAAAGACAAGGATAAACGGAAGAAAAATTCCAAGTGCACCACACAGTCCAAAACGACAACTTCCAAGTCTCCAGATGGAATTACAAATTCTGCCTCAGAAAAGTCTACACCAGAACCCAGTAAAAATGAGGGAACCAATTCTGAGACGGATAATGAAAATCGTATTACAAAGACGAACTCAAACGACGATAACGTCACAACGGACGTCCAATTCCTCGGCATAGAAAGCACCGTGGAAAAATTGAAAAAACGTAAATTATTGGATATGCATCCGTACACGATATCTGACACAACGATATCACGTGATAGCCCTAATGAGGTGGTCGAAATCCTCGCTATGGACAAAGAGGTGACCCTAACCAGATTGCCAAAGAGACCAAGGACCAACAACGATATCAATCCTGTTGTGCAGAGACTCGGTGCTAATCCCTCCATCAGCGTACGCACTCTTTTCCCTGGCGAGGAGGAAATGAATCTTCATGCCAATATAGAGTTCACGAACGTTCGAGAAATAACACCTCAGGGCTGGGAGAAATGCGCCACGATGATACAGTACGATAGAGACACAAAGTTGCTCTGGCAAGAGCTTCAGAGACCGTACGGGAACCAAAGTTCGTTTCTCAGACACCTAATACTGCTTGAGAAATATTACAGATCGGGTGATTTAGTGTTAGCACCGAATGCCTCGCGAAACGCTATAAATTATTCGACGTCCGTACAGAACAGACTGATATCGTACGAGGGTCCAGAGAAAATGGACGAGCCAATCATGGAGCCCATCGCCTCAGAGTACCACAATTCTCGTCGACTAAGCGGTGGGTACGTGCTAGAGAGGGACAGACATTCTTTGCCAAGCACAAGCACTTCTAAACAAACAGCTGGTAGTAGTACCATGCAATCCGCGAAAGGAAGTCCTTCAAGGATTCTGAAGTTGAATCCTGGAGTGTCGATAATCAAGAAACCGCCTCCTAACCTACAAAGATTGAATCTGCCGTCTACCAGCGCCACCACGGCGAACGGTAGCGTGAGAAGAAAGGACGGCCAAAAGCTGCCAGCTTCATCGGGTGGTAAAGTATTTCAGTTGAGCGAGCCGGATTTCAAGCGACTGCAGAATCTGAAAAAACAGAAGCAACAAATGCTCACAGAGAAACAGTCGACCACTTCGAGCGGCAATTCTGGCTCCCCGCCGAATCTGAAGTCGACCACGCAGTACCAGAAGGCGCAGCTCGCCGCTCATACGCAGTTCCAAAAACATCTGAGGATGCAGCAAGAGATGCTTAGTCGACAAAGCAGAAGCGACTTCGAACCATTGATCTGCAATGTGCGATCGTTGGCGAACGAAAACAGCCCAACGCAGAATTTACTACATAACCTAAATCTGCCCAAGTCGATTCAGGTTACCACAAAGACGTCCAGCCAGATTCCAATTTTACCGAAGATTCCGAAGTCGCTGACGGTAATACCACAGACTGTCACCAGACCTGCAGACAAATGAGAAATAGGGACGATTAGAGAAGTGAAAAGTAAGTAAAAACAAAACATGTAGATGTTAATTCTTTTAGACACAAAAGAGCGTTGAATAGAGTATACGAGAGGAAGACGTTTGCCTATTGGACCCGAGATAGAAGAATTCGAATATCGATCGAGCTTTGTGTTCAGAGAGTGAGAGAGATAGCGATAGAGAGGATGCTTCGTTAGAGAGGGTCTAGTCAACGCTCACCGCGAGAAGCGACAATATCTGCCTTATAAAAATCGAGTGCATTCGAAGAGAGCTGTACACTGCTCAAAAAAGAAATCGAAACGATTTTACGATGATACATTAAGACGCATGGCGACGAGAGGTTCGTACAGATCGTAGTCGCAAACACGCATGCGTACACGCCGTGATAGTACATATAGTAGAAAAACGATTCGTCGAGGAGCGAGAGAAACAGAACAGTTGCTAATAATGTTGTACACGACAACCAAAGCCCCAGTGTGAAGAATGCGGTGAAACACGATAGGAATCTGTTTCCGAGGAAAAGTGCCTAAAAAAAAGGAAAGAATGTGTGACGCGGATGAAGTCGTTAGTTTTTAAATGACGGAATATAATATGTTGAACAGACTTGAAACACGTATACATAGTTAAATATATAGAGATATACGTATACGAGTAAAGAGAGACAAAAATAAGAAAAAAAGATATACAAAGGATCGTTCGTAAGAGAAGGGAGTAGTTAAAGAAGGAAAAAAGGGGGGGTGTAAATATCGTGGAAGTTAATACGCTCCCGCTGTTTCTTCGTTCGTATTCCAAGCTATTAAAAAAAAATGATTCGTTAACGGAAAAGCATTCATCTTTGAAGCAAAACGTATTCCGGACGAACGAAACGAAAGGAAGAACAAAACTGACGATTTGCCTTGCTGTTGTTACATAAAATAAAACAAAAACGGTCACTGCTAGAGACATATCTATCCCGCGCGTTCTTCGAGATATTTGCAACGGCTCGAGACGAAATCTCGTTAAAAGATCCATAGCGCCTCGAAGAACGATTTGAAATCGGTAGTTCGTTCCTTTTCCTGCGCGTCCCGAAAGAGATATAGTCGATTCGCGTGTATACGCGCAACAAATGGCACCATGGTGTATAGATTTCGTTGACGGTTTGTCTCATATGTCGAATATATTTTTATCTACCTGGGGAAAAAGATAAGTGGCGAATATTAAATGAAGAGTAAAAGGGCGGGCGAGAGAGAGGGGGTGAGGGGAAGAGTGCGGGTATATAGGGGGTGATTTTTTTTATAGCCAAGATTTATGGCGGGAGAAATGCACGCCCGCAAGGGCGATCGTTGAGCGAGAAAGCTAAGCGTTATCGTATGAATTGGTAAATACACTCTATAAAACAAATCGTAGGTGTAGACCTGTACGCCTCGAGCTTATTTATTACGTTACTATAATATCATTATATTACACTGTACATAACTGATAATTATTTCTAGTTCGTAACCAATTATTATTATTATATTATATTATTATAATTAATTATTTCTTTATGGATAATTCAATTACTATATACGCCGCGACAAATTTAATTGTCGTGCAGGATTCCTTTAATAATCGTGTAACACGATCGCGAATTCGAGAGAGGTTTGAGATTTCGTAATTCTTTTTAGAGAGAGACAGAGTAAGAGTGAAAGAGAAACTGAGCGAATGAGGAAGACTGAGAGAGCGAGAGAAAGAAAGAAAGAAAGAACCGTTTTCTTTTCTTCTTCTTTATCTTCTTTGTCTCTTTGTGCATGGGGTCGCCACGTGAAGAAAAAAAGAAAGAAAAATAAATCAAAGAATGTGTTCAATCGTTTGAAGAGATTCATAAAAGTTCTAGAAATGAGCAAAACTTCCTCGTTTTCGGATACGCGTTATTGCGTGCCATTTCGAGGTTAGATTATTACTGCCTTAAAACAGATGTGTGTGATCGATTGTATATAGTCGAAGAATGATGAAATTTCAAATGTAATTTAGCTTTTAGGAGTAGTAGACGTGTTTGAATCACGAGACAAAAAAGCAACCGAAAGTGGAAGGCACAAAGAAGGGAAATTAAGCGTTGTTTGTTGAACTGAGTTCCGTCATGAAGGACGCTCAGAATCGTTAAAATCGCGGATACGTCCACTTTTGAACCGATTCATATCGATAGGAGCTGTAGAAATTTTTTTCGAAATTGAAACTGCCTAAAAATCGTTCTCTGTTCGCTCGGTGCCATTGACGAGTGAATGAAATACTCGAAAAAATTTTTTCACGCTTCGGTTTTTTTTTTTTTTTTTTTTTTTTTAACCATTTTCTTTATCGTTGTTCACCTGTGCACTAGTTAACGCGTTCACAAAATCAATTAACACGAAACGGAAATCGGTTCAAGAGAATATATATCCGTTCTATTACTTCAAATTTTGAATATCGGCTGTGTTGAACTAGGACCAGAATAGAGAGCTTCTGTATTGCATATACAAGTGAATTGCATACGAATTAAAACGAAAATTCGAGTTTATTGACTGTATGCTATAGCTTTATGGATTGCTGTTGACTAATTTGTGAAAATTAAAAATTATCGATGAAAAATGAATGCTTATTAATACTAAAAATCTAGGATAGTTATGAATACATTACAGCATAGCTTTACTGAGGTATACTGTATTATATTTGACATCCAATGATATAGTAATACTTTGGTAAGTTTAATACAATTTTTAACTAAAGTATACACTAGCATAATCTTAAAAAACTTTTTTTATAAAACAATAATACCAATGATAAAATATTTTCAAGTATAAATTTGAATATAATTGAAATCAATCAAAAAAATTGTAATAAAAAATAGAGAAACAGTTAAAACAATGTATCCATAAAGTAATGCGGCGAAGGTCAGTAACTCGAGATGTGTGTAATCTAATCTGGAAAACGTTCACGTGGCGACACGTAAAAAAATGTACACAGACAGACACAGGTAAACGTGCATCGTTACTGTACACAGTAGCCAATGCACAATTGTGAGCGCACGTGCGCGTGAACGATAGGAAAGAATGTCACACGACGTTAGTATTATATGTATGTAAGTATATATAATACAAAACGTTATAAATAAATATATATATATATCGAACTAAAGAAACGAGTATCGACGATCAGCGTAATTATTGTTATCGACGTGCGGTGGCGTCTAAAATTGCGAGATAGTATTTACTGAGCTGTGTGCAGTGGGTGTCAAATTTATATTTCTGAAACGTATATAACTGATGATGGAGAAGTTGTTGATAGCTTTTCTTTGTCTTGTTGTTTCTCTTTTTGCTTCAGTTTATTCGAGTTGAGAGACAAAAAAAAACGAGCGAGAGAGATCGTTGGAAAAAGAAAGAAAAGTAGTAGATACGTTGATGACAAGTAACTCGTGTGTACAGAGCAGAGACTTGGTTCGTATTTATTTTCTTATATAGACAGTTGCACGCCACTGATGAAGTCTCAACCCTTTCGTTTCGTTTCTTTTTTTTTTTCTCTTGAATGCAATCGAAACGAAGGAACATACGTGGAAACTTTATGGTCGTTGTTGTATAATAATTGTTACAGTCCTTCTTTGTTACGTGTTTCATGAACATTGGAGATTCAAGAATTCCATAGCTCGTTCCTTCCTTCGAGCGCATGAATTCTTTTCTTTTTTCTGCACAAGACTCGTGGAATTTTTTGAATTATGTTTACCTACTTCTCTTTTCTTTCCTTCTATTTTTCGTAAGAGCTACATTTAATTGATGCGTATTAGATTATTATAAGAGCCTGTGTATCGATTACAGTTTTACGTTCAAATATACCTTTTTCTTTTTCTTCAAATAAAAGTTAATTCAGTCGCTGCTGCGTTATGTTGCTTGTACAGTGCATAGTAGAAACACGATATTTAAATTATTGTTCAGATTTTTAACTGTCAATCGTCAACGTTTCTTCATGGTTTGTAAACACCCTAATTACGTTAATGAACTGTTAAATAATGAAAAATATTTATCACGCCAGTGAAAATCAACCTTAATACACGCGACATTGTTTTTAATGATAATGGCGAATCGTTTAGATAGTGTAACAACAACCATTTTCATGCTATCGAATCGAATAGGAGAGATCGATGTATTGACAAATTGATAATAATAGTAGCAACTACAGTTTATCAACGCTAACTGCATACTACTCAGCAAATGATCGCTCGTGTGTATACGAAGATACACAGCGGAAGTGAGAAAGTAGGGGAGAAAGAGAGAAAACGAGCGTGCGAGTGAGAGAGAAAGAGGAAAATAGTGTGAGAGTGAACTGAGTTTAAGTTTTAAGAGTTCTATTTTTGTGATCAAAACAAAATTATCGTAGTAAGTTGGGGAGCAGGAATCATCTAATGATTTTTGGCTGATGGAACGCAATCTAACTCAATTATTATTTCAACAATAATCCTGAAAATATGAAAATAATGAGGCAGATTCAATAATAAATACAGATAATCGTAAAGGATACCCGTCGATAAATGTCTGACACTATTGCGATGTTTCTGCTGACGGTAATTGCGACTGTACATGCCTCTGACGGCACTTACGAGAAGCATGATGGAGAGCATTTACATAGAAACTGAAAGGACAACTAGCAAGTCAATTTACATTCTTAGATAGCTCTTAATGTGTTACGGTTAATATCCTGTGAAAAGTGAAAAGCAAAAATCATTGGACGTTTCTTGCGGCGAAAAAATATATTTTGAGGTGAAAAGCAGAGGCGAGAGGCAGATCGATAAGCGACAGGAGGTAGACGATCGATCAAAAAAAGCAATAAAAAAGAAGCAAGATAAATATTACGTGCTAAGTTTTCGAATTGAGAACATTTCGAATAAAGAAAAAAGTCGAATTATTTCGGTAGTTTTCGGGCGCCGATTGCACGTGATACATCGTCCTGCTGCTTCTCCATTAACTTTACGAAACTTCGTATCCGCGGAATCGATTGTTATCTCGAATGCGATATCTGCCGTATATACGAGTCGATCTATTCTATGTGTTGGTTTTTCTTTTTTTTTTTCTTACATTGAGGATTTGTGTTTGACGTGTCCACCAACATTGCAACACGATTAAATGATTAAAGAAATAATTTCATGATATATAAACGCGTTGAATGAAAGTAAGTATCATTGGCTGATCTCGAAATGTTTCAGAACTTTTCACAATTGGAAATTGAACGAATTCTCGTCGTAAAATATAATCGTCGAGTAATTGATCAACGAACGGGAAAACGTATTCACACTTTTTTTACACGATTTTGTATCTGGGTCGAGTGATCGCATTTTTATGAATCCTAGCTCACCACTCCGAACGGACGAACTCGGACGGTCGCGATTTTTAAACGCACAAAACATAACATGGCGGGAATGGATGCGAACTATAAACGATGTATAGAAATTTTTCACTTTTCATACCTAAACTCACCGTATGTCGGACAAAACAGGAAACAGGTATGTTTCCCCATTCGCAACCCGTGAAATCACGATCACGATTCGCTTATTACACGCAAGAACGATTAAATAATACGTTGCTATTTATAAAAATACGAGAAAAAAAATATACAAAATACTAATCGGGTGGTAGTTATTTATTTTCTAAATTCTAACTTATCGTTTTGAATAAAAAAGAAAAGTTTATACTGTTGATAAGTATATTGATCGAAATCGATCGATTTCACATCGATCAACAAATTGGTGGATCCATTTTTTTTTCTCTTTTCTTTGAACGCAGCCTTCCGATATTAATTTTTTGACACGATATCGATCTTCGATCTGGAATACTTTTTTTTTCTCTTTTTATCGAGGATCGAATGTTACGAAGCGATGTCGATGCTGCGCAAAAGCAGTTTGTACATACGTGGCTCACAATGAAAATCGTCCACCACGTTTGAAAGTGTATTCCTTCTTCGAAACTACTCAGATTATCTCTTACATATTTTCCAGTATCATTAAAAACAGGATATATTTAGATCTTCGGGTTTTGCTGGGACATTCTGTATATTAAATTTGCTTTCGTTATATACTTCGCAATATTCTCGGAACATTTTCCGGATGAAATTTTTTATTTAAATATTTTTCATCATTTGCAACAAACTGTGGGGTACTTTCTGTCAGATCTATCTTAATTTGTCATATCATCATTTAATAATCGTTTAAAATATTTGTGTCACTCTAATTATTTTATTGGATGCACGATTTTCATTTTTGTATTTTTTAAGGATATATTGGAATGTTATACAACTTCTACTTATAATTTATGCTATTTCACATTTGTGATTTGGCTTGATTATGATCAAAATTGATTAATTTTCATTCTCCTACAGTTGCTTGTTTTTCTAATATTCCATTTTTTCCAAAAACATCTAAAATGTGTAAAGTAATGAAATAATATAATGAAACTAAGCTAATACTTACTACGAAAAATACTTACAACGAAAATACTCAAAAACAATTTGACTGAAGATATTTTAACGCTCGGAATCCCCAAATTATTATAGATGGACGAATTTTAATGTGAGCTACTTTCCATAAATGTAATTAGATATGTTGATTTTTTATCAATTACTTTACAAAATTTTACATTATTCTTTATATTCAAGCAAATAACAACACAGACGGAATATTATTACACTCATTATAACGATACCATGTTCATACAGTGCAGTTTTTGGACAAAATTAGAAAATTTAAGGTGGTGGACGATTTTTAGTGTGAGCTACTGCACATGCGCGCACAGACACACACACACACAAGATAATACGATGGACAATTTGACGTATTGCAAGACCATCTTTTTGGAAATTCGCTACACACCGTTTACGATCATTATGTTATTTAAACAAATATTAACACATGTTAATATGTACTATCATGATAACCTTTGTTTATTTGGTTCTAATGTAATAGTTATTATTAGTTCGCCATCCTTTGTATATATTCGCAACACTCAATAAAAAAAGTACCAAAAAATTGTATACTTGTATTCTTTCTATCCTCATCAGATTTCTTAGTATTGAAAACTAAACAATAAATTAATAACCACTAGAGTAAGGTTAGGGGAGTTAAAAACACATGTACGATATTATATTTTTGCGGTTTATTTGCAATTTGTTCGTATAATTGGTAACTGATCTCGGATAACTAGTACTAAAAACCTAAACAACGTATGAAACTTTATACATAGCTAATTACTTAAAGGGTGCTAATGAGGCTATTTACAGTGTGAACACATCGAACCATGAATCGAGTCGATTCTCTTCCGACGTAACGATATACATCGAGAGATATCCCTCAAAGCATGGCTGGAGTGTTCGAAAGGAAGATTGGATTTCTCTTTGCATCGTTTCCACGCTTTCGGCATTGTTTCTGTTTTCTTTTACCGGATTTACGAATCGATACAAACGATCACGATGCTTTAATAATCGATTTCGTGATACATAGTTGGACGTTTATGTTTCACATCGCAACGTCGACTATTAACCAATGTTTGAACGTTGAAAAGGATTCAAAAATGCATATGCTGTTATTCTGTACAAAAAAAAAAAGAAAGTAGAATCAACAAACGATATTCTGTAAACATTACGTCGAATTTACCACACGTATGCTTTCAGTGGAAACGATAGGGAGTTGTTCGATCCTACGAAAACGTACAAAAGTGGTCGATTGTTAAATAAAACGTACAAAAAAAAGGGTTGCACGCGTGACATCGATCGTCCAATTCCTTTTTAGCACTTTTGTGAACGAGCTAGGGATAGGTTAGGTCAATGAAGTCAGAAATGAGCTTCCAAATTGGCTCCACCAGGTTGTAAAAGAAACATGGCGACCACGTTGTCAATACGTCAACAGTGGAAGTGTTTAGAAGCTACGAATCGATCATGAACATTTATGTAACTATACAATAATAATATGGTTAATGCTTCAGATCGATTCGCATATCCTTTAGCCATTCTTCTGCAAGATAAACTGAAAGGACAAACTATTGCACTGCACAGTGTCCGCAGAATCCATTCTAACGTATGTCTTACCGAGTCGAACTTATTTTACGTACTTTTGAAAACAATACATTATATACAGGGGCGTGTATACAAATCGTATAGTCACGTATTTCGTCGTAACAAAATTCGAAACTTTGCAAACATTATGAACTAACGTACTTTGTCGTTATAGTAAAATGAAAAAAAAAAAACAGTTAAAAAAAATGCCACACGAGAAACAAACATTCAACGATCAACATTCCGGAATATATCCTAGTAAATATTGCATTTAATTCATAATTCACATTAATAATTTTTCAAAAGTCTAAAGATGTCTTTTTTTTCTTTGAAAGTATGAAAAAATTGTTTTAAAAATAAAATGATAATATCATCAATAGATATCGAAGGCCCATTGTGACTTAATGCGATAGTGAAAATTCACTCGATTCCGCTCGCACATCACTTTTACATCGATTCACAGCTACTCTAAAGGCATTTATACACAACAGACGCGCGCATCTCTTCTGTTCGGCATATTTCTCCTCGGCGACTTTTTTTCTTACTTTCTGCATGAAATTTTTGCTACAAATTCATCTATAATTATAACTGTTAACGTGCTCTTAGAAACGTACTCGAATATATACAAATTACGATACGTAATGCATTTTTCAGGACATTTTGGTACCGATACTCGTACGCTCAACATATAATATCGACAAAACGCAGTACCGACCGACGGTAATGTACATAGCGAAGATACTCCTCGTTGAAATCGAGAAATGTCGATACTATTGAAAACGCACCCAATTTACGAAAGTCCATTTTTTTCATCCTCTTACATAGTCTTCCCTTTTCCACATTATTTAATGCCATCGGCAATGGTTGGACGACCAAAAATACCAAGGATAACAAGCAATGCTATCGACTATTAATCTGTAGGCCGTAGAAGGCTGCAATTCTCTTTCAACATATACTTCAAACACTTTTTCTTTGCACTAACGTCACATGAATAACAAGCTCAACCAAATTAAAAAAATCATAATTGTTATAGTTTCAATTCTTCATCGCAGTCTGGAAATGTACAGTTTTGAATACTACTTGAAACAATTAGCCAATATTTATTCGAGGTTTGCCCGTACTTCTGTGCTATGAGCAAATCCCCTGATTAGTCGTCCAACCAAGTCGACGATGTTTTTTCTTCCATCATTCCGAAGATTTGTAGCCAATGCTACTCTCCGTACTATCCAACAGTTCCAGGTTCATCCTCGCCGTGGTTCCTCGTGTGTGCCGCGAAGCCGTCTACCCTTATCCTTATCGTCGTCTTGGTCGTGCTCGTGCTTTTCCCTTGGACTAGACGCGACGAGAGTAGGGTGCTCGAGGCACGAGGCTCCCTTCTAGGTTTCCAGGCCAGGTACTAGACTGTGGAAGGTCTGGATATCGTGGAACGCTCTGCCACAGCTCTGATTGTTATTCCTCTCGAATTTGGCCAAATCGAAATGTTCATCTAGGGATTGCAACTCGACCAAACGTTCCTCTAGGCTTTTTGCGGAGTCAGCAAACCTCGCGAAATCACAGATCCTGTCAGGATCAACCACGTCAGAAGCCTCCATCATACCAACGTCATTGGATCTGGTAATGCTAGTTAGTTGACTACTAGCATCATCT